TGGCCGACAGTGGCCAGCATTTGTTCTTTCGCGGGCACTGTTTAGAGAGCCTATAAATAGGCCTAGGGATGCTCATTTTCAAGGGTTGGAAATTTTGGAGAGAGGCGAAGCCCTGCTGGATTGGAGACTCGGAACTTAAAAAAGATTGAAACTTTGGGACTTCGGGGACTCACTCCTTCAGATCTGGTGCTCGGCGATCATCAACGTCAAATAAGGCAGGTGTTCGAGAGGATCAGATCTCAGATCTACGCAGGCATACTCCGGATCTAAGCTTGGTCTTAGATCCCGAGACTTGGACGATTGTTTCCTTGGTGAAACAATCCTCCCCGGCTATTATTTCCTTGGTGAAATAATACCCGTCGTACTGCGTAGATCCGACCGGATCTAGATCTCGCGGTGGTCCACGGCAAATAACCCCGACGCAGGCAAAGAACCCACCAAGCGAGCGACCGCAAAACAGGAGCTCGCGATTCGTTCGACATAAAGGAGAAAAGTTGTAATCTTTGTTTATTTTTATTTGATTTTCGTTGTAACCGGATCTTATAAAAAGACCGGATCTTTTGTAACTCAAAAAGTTGTAACTCAAGATGACAATGGAATCAATAACAAAGAAAGACACGAATTTTCCAGCGAACAAAATCAAATGCTGAGTAGGTGAACCCATCCTATTAAACGGCGTGAAGTTAATTAGATTGAACTTCGCCGGATATGGGATCGATTCCCACTCTCTTGGGTATGGACAGGGAATGCTCGTTTTCTTCATCTCTTGAGCGGAAATCAATGTATTGATTTTGCTCTCGAGATTTTTAAATTTCAGATTTTCATCTGTGTTTTCACTAGCATTCTCGTTACCACCCCCTGCATTGACGGGAGGATTATTTGGTTGCGTCAGATGAGGCTCCACCAATCTCCAACCAGATCAAGCTGGTTCCAACCAATTCCTCCGTCACCAAAGGAGCAGTGACTCTCTCAAAGAGAGCCCGCCAAAGGCAACGCCAACACTTGGCCAAACAACTCGCCAAAGCGATGGAGTCCACCGACGGAGTCCGCTACAACGCGGATCTGAAGAACAAGAGAGGCAAACAGCCTCAGCAACAAATGAACGACGTCCCCTCTAAGTCGCCAATGATGGAATGGGTCCGTGTCAAACGGAATCGTTCGACGCTGGAAGAACGCATCCGCAAACGCCGCGCACTATCAGCGCAGGCACGGGTTCAAGCCGAACTTAGTTCCTTCTTTTGTTTATAAGTATTCCTAGTGAACTTTTTTGTTTCAAAACAATCACATGTCTCCTAGAGGAAATGTTTCTAAGTATGAAAGGTTTCATACACAATAACTTTCTTTAGCTATTAAAGAGAGTTCACAGTCCCCACCCAAATTCACTGATCTTCTATTCATACAAGATTTGGATGCCAGGTATGATATCTAATATTAAAATAGAAAAATGTTTATGTTCCAGTTATTCAGAAACAAAGTGCATAAAAGTCATATGGCTAAATTGTAGACATATGATCACTTTAGGACATTATGAGGATGCTAATTCTGATGCTACAAAAATTGTTCCTAGGAAACATCAAGATTTGTCGAAGTGGGCCATATAGTATAATTGGATAGATGTCATTAGAAACCAATCCATACTAATTTCCAACCGATGAGTCTAGAAATAGTTACATTGATCTACATGTCGTGTCTCTTGTTTAGATGGTTTATTGTAGATTATGCGTGGTGGGTTTGTGGCTGCCTAATTAGGAAAGTGTTCTCATGCTTTCATTGCCACATTGGTAATACTTAGGTCTCTAACAGGAGGAACCCAGTCTTAAGGATCACAAAAGTCCATGTCTTAGATAAGCAAATACAGATGTCCTTTCATACAGTTCCAACCTTATGAACTGCTATCTTCCTCCAAAGCACGCCTCCATCATTATAAGAGGGCTGGCAGAACGGAGTCTGGTTTTGCATATATGACATGCAAGTATAATCAATCTTCATTAATACTTCAATACATACCTTATAATAGCTAATGATCAATTGATCACCATGTCCTTTCTTTACATGTCCAGTACCTTCACTTTCACGGAGTTATGATAAATAACAAAACAGTCCAAGAAAATAAAAATGGGCCCACGTCATTCCAGTAATAAGCATGTGATATGACTGTGAGTCACTATTTCTCCAAAACAACCATTCATCTATTGATTTTTGCTCTTGTTGAACATTGAAAACAAGTTGAAGGATAAGCATTCATGGTGTGTGTACATATACACATGGATATGTGTGGGTTGTGCGTGCATATACATATACATGTGTGACTTCAATGTATTGTGCGCGGAATGTGACATGTATTCCACAACCATTTTTAAATCAGTGCAAGCAATTAAGATATCGCTGCAAACAAAATAATGAATCTTGTCCAAGCAAGACATAACACAAACCAATGAAATTCCCAAATCTGGTACCCACGAAAACCTGTCCTTCCTCCCTATATAATCCTCAATAGGGGCCGTCTATATGATCTTTGGCGATAAAGATGGTAAATTTTTATATAGATAAATGTCCTTATTCTCTTATTCAAAGTGGATAAATGTCCTTATTCTCTTATTCAAAGTGTTGCAATGATGTAATATTTCCTTGAAAGGGGTTAACTGTACAATGATAGTGCCATTATACAAAATTGGTGCAGTTTAAATCAAAGGTATTCAATTGATACTAATGGAAGTAGTATTCCACATGTTTTCAATCAAGAATTGATCATGTGTAGAGCCATTTACAATCAAAAGGGGGAAATGGACTATACACAAATAAGAAATTAAAATTGAGTGAAAAGCTGTCCTCATCCTCGTGAAAATGAACTATACACAAATACATAATTCTATACACAAATAAGAAATTAAAATTGAGTGAAAAGCTGTCCTCATCCTCGTGAAAATGAACTATACACAAATACATAATTCTCACAACAGAACTCTAATGTTGCACAAAAAAAAAAACATTTAAGAAAAGAAAATTAAAATATCCACCTCTGAAATAAGCTTGAATGCCACTTCGGCTTTTGGATGCCTGTTCTTATCTGGATGAAGCTGCAATGCTGCAGAAATTTTACAAAGAGCTCGATAAGCAAAATAATAATAATAATAATAATAAACAGCATAAACAGCATTGTGATTAATTTGTGAACAAATAAACTTCTATATATTTTCTCTTGAGAAAAGAAATTTACAAGTTAAATTAGATTTAAAACATACCCAACTAGCGATATCGCTTTGGGATCATATCACTCCCTGAATCCTCATCAATCTACACATATACATTCCCATAATAAAAACAAATAAAACATAAATTAATGAAAAAACACAGAAAAATGAATAAAAATAGGAAATAAAATACTCACTCTTAGAATAAGATACCAATTAATGAATCCAGGCTTCTGGGTCGAACTCCGATTAAGTGGAGGAGAAGGCCAAAAAAGGGGGATTAGGGTTAGGGTTTTCACCGAAGAGGAGGAGGGAGCGACAGAGCTTTGAGTGGTGGTCCAATCGAGCGGTCGGTCTACTACTGAAGGAGGAGGAGGAGCTCGAATCAGAGGAGCTCGAATCAGGGTTTTTATGGGAGAGGAGGAGGTGGCGAGAGAGCTCCGACGACGACGACGGCGACGCAAGGAGGAGGGCGGCGACGGTTTTGGCAACGAGAGAGGGAGTGAGGGCGGCCCTGGTTTTGGTGACGAGACAGGGAGGGAGGCGGCGAGAGAGCTCGAACGAGGATGAGAGGAGGAGGGCGACACCGCTGGCCAGTTTTGGCGAGAGAGAGTGAGGGAGGGAGCGAATTGCAGAGATCTAAGGGAGAGGGATCGAAATAATTTAGGGCCTGTTTGGATTTGTAGGCGGTGAAGGGAAGTTAAAGGGAAACTGAGTGAAGGGAAGGGAAGGGAAGGGAAGGGAAGGGAAGGGAGTTCCCTTCTCCTTGGTTACACCCTAATTTGGAAGGGAAGGGAAGGGAAGGGAAGGGAAGGGAAGGGAGTTCCCTTCTCCTTGGTTACACCCTAATTTGGGAGGTGACAATTTTTATACTATTAGGGGGTGAATCAAGGGGAACTAGGGTGAATTAACTTCACCTCCTAAGTATTCCCAAACAAGGTGAATGGAGGTGAATGGTTCCCCTAACTTCCCTTCACCCTCATTCCCCTCAATCCAAACAAGCCCTTAGGGCAAAATAAAATTTAGGTCTAGCTGCGGGGGCGGGCCACTTGAGGGTTTAGTTAGTTTTTAACGCGTCTGTTTTAATTTTCAGTCTCCCGTTTAATTTTTTAACGCGTCAGAAAAAAAAAATTACGATCAAATACTTATAGCGTTTAAAAATTTTCAAACGCTATCAAAAAATAAAGCACATACGATCTATAGCACTTACAACATAAACGCTATCATTCAATGCTATAAAAAAAACAGCTTTGTTATAGTGGCGCGGTCGACTGCCTTCAGCTTCAGCTTCTCCTGAGCTCCTGTGCATGTTCGAGGTCGACCGCCGCAGACTCGCGATCGATCGTGGATTAGTCTGGCAGTTTTTCTAGACTTTTTTAACTGTGTTCTTCATGATTCCAGACTGGCTTCAACTTTGGGTCTACACTTTAGACTAACATATTTATGTATTTTAAACTTACTATTATTGATTGATAATTGCTTACAAGAATGTTCTTCACTATTAAATAAATTTTGGTTAGACTATAAGATATTGACAATTATTATTATAATGATGGTCTAGTAATGGTGATAACCATAATAGGAAAGAAGTAAAGAAATATAAAAAATAAAAAATAACAAAATAAATATGAGTTCTAGTTTTTTACCACCTAATTCCAAGCTAAAACTTAGAATAATTTGAGAGACTAGAACTCTCATTTTTGTATAGAAAAATAAAAAAGGGATAATTTTGTACCATTATCCTAATTCTAATTTTGTTAGAGTTTTACTTGACAAACACTGTAAAATTTTATTCTAGTTTTAGTTCTATGTGACTAACACCTTAAAAATTTATCTCACAGATTATCCCAGTTTCAATTTTAAGTTCTAGATGACTAACCCCCCCCCCCTCTCCTCCCCCCTCCCTCTAAGGAATTAAGAGATTTGGAAGCAATTTCAACGACTTGAGTTACTAATTTCAAAATATAGAAGAGTTAAGAGACTAATATCGAAACCTTTAAAAATAATATAGTAATAAGAAGTAGATTAATCCCTCAGCTCATCGAAGTTTTTGTTTAATTATCCGATTCTCATTATTTATTTTAATTTAATCACTATAATTGATAACAATATTTTTCACTAGAGAGAGAATTTGACAAGAGATTGTGGTTTTTCCGTCCATTTTTGGCTTTTAGGATCGAACGAGAGAGGAGAGAGGGTGGGGGAAGGCGGCGGATGAGAGAGAGCACCGGAGAAGAGGAGAGAGATGGCTCCAGAGAAGGAGACGAAGAGGGAGAGGAGAGAGTGGGAGGCG